TACTGAAAAATAACTTAAAATGGGTTTACATAATGTTTTTTTAGTATTTTTTAATAATAATAACACAGTACGACAAAATTTGATTTTTGGTCCCTCCCATGAAAAATTTCTACAGATTCTAAAAATAGAGTTAAAAAAATGATACCCGTGTCTCGGCGTTTTTTCACATCACGTCATAATTTTTTTTTAAGGGCTATCCAATAAAATGTTATTCACACTCGATAACAGCTGGACTGCATAGTTAAAAATATATATATTTACTAAATGGATAGGCAACCATTATAGATGCATTTTAAAATTATTTTAATCTTATACAGAGTTTTGCACATTTATATATAATTTATATATAATATATATATATTATATATATATATATATATATATATATATATATATATATATATATATATATATATATATATATATATATATATTAGGGTGTTTCAAAAAAAAATATATATCTATTTTCCAACGGGCTACACCTGAAATAGTTATTTTAGGTGGGAAAGAAGATGCTGTCAAAATATGAACATTTTAGGTTAAATGGAAGATCGGTCTCAACAGATTCTTTTATTTTTTCATGTGTATCGAATTAGTGAAAGATAACACAGTCCCACATCCCCTTGATGTAAGGATGAAGCGCATACATTCTTATGAATTTTGATGCGCTGAATCTAAATATGATAATAGAATAAGCCTTGCGGGTCTTGATCAGGTCTTAACCTCAAAAAACACCTCAGTTTTCGCGATTTTAGGATGATTGTTGAGGTTAGTGCCAAACCAGGACCAATTCTGTAGTCATATTCGGATTTAGGATGTCAAAATACATGTACTTCTCATCTCCAGATCATTTTTGTGTTATCGTTAGTAAACTATTTAATTAACTACATTAATTTGTCTTTCAAATATTTTTTTCTTTAGCTGGTATTCAATAGTGGTGGTTAAATTATCACTGATTATCATTAAATACAAATACCCAAAAAAACTTATTCGATATTTTTTATTAAATATGAATTAAAAATTAAAACTAAACCAAATGAACAGAAATAAGCCAAATGAAAAGGTACAATCTAAAACAATTTTGTAACATTTTTAACTGTTCGTTTTATCTAGTAAATAGGTTATTGTCCTATTGATCCTTTACCTATAAATTTTCTAAATATCCCACGAAGTCTTAAATTAAATTAAGCATTAAATTCTTAGTTACATGTTTTTGTACATATCCTATAAAAGTAAGGTAAGATCTCTCTTTTGACAGGTGGGATACTGCTTTAGATGAAATTTGACAGCTTGCAAAAGGTATTGCCTTTGATCTTCGTCTTTGGTCAGTAGTAAATTAAAATCTTGGACCAAAGCAACTGCTCTTTCAGCAGTATCATTAACTACTTTTAACCCTTGCAAGACTTCTATACACTTTACATAGGACTCTTCTGTTTTCCATAATTCCGGACTTACTTCGAGAAAATCATAGGGTAAATCATATTGCTCAAATAAAAACAATGAATTTTTTGTGACGAAATCACTTACATATTTGTTAATCACTTTCAAATAATCAGCCTCTTCAACTACAACTCGTGTTGGGACTGGCTGTGTACCTTCTCGCTCTTTGATTGCACGAATCATTTTTAATTTTGTTGCATTTGAGACCATGTCATCAAAAAAAGCCAAAGGTGCAAGGTATTCGGATATATACCACAAGTGCGCACATAGTTTGGAAGTAGCTGCGCCTGAGATTTTGGCATTGATTTTTCGATACTTTATTAAGCTTTGAAGCAATGTCAAATCTTGATTGGGTGCATTGATAGCATTTGGCGCATTAAACCACGCTTTTACGTAGAAACGAATAATAAAAATGCAGATCTGCCGCAGACCATCGATTTCCACTTTTTGAATACCCAATTGTTTCTTAAACATAAACATCTACAAGGAATAAATGGGTTTTGCCATCCGCCTAGCATGGTGTACTGCTCCTGGCACTTTAAATGCAATTCCTTTAGGTGGAACACCACCTAAAAATACACAAGCAAGTTCCAAGAATTCCTTGTAATCATCTCTGGGTTGGGATTCAAATTTTAGTACAAGGCGCCACGGCGCGCCGTGGCTCATATGACAATGCTCTCGTTTTGCATGCAGACGAACCGAGACCGACGAAATCCAGAAGAAGCATTACTTTTTTACTTTTTTATGATAATTTAACCACCACTATTAAATACCAGATAAGGAAAAATTTATTTGAAAGACAATTTAATGTAGTTAATTAAATAGTTTACTAACGATAACACAAAAAATGATCTGGAGATAAGAAGTACATATTCCTATGTATTTTTTTTTAAGTTCCACCCTTACTTCATAAGAAGTCCCAGAAACCTTTTGAATGGCTTGAGCGGGTTAGGGGTAGGAACGGACCGCGGGATTAAAGTCACCTCCTAATTTCGAATATAACTACAGAATTGGCCCAGCAGGTCCTGGTTTGGCACTTACCTCAACAATCATCCTAAAATCGCGAAAACTGAGGTGTTTTTTGAGGTTAAGACCAGATCAAGATCCGCAAGGCTTATTCTATTATCATATTTGGATTCAGCGCATCAAAATACATAAGAATGTATGCGCTTCATCCTTACATCAAGGGGATTTGGGACTGTGTTATCTTTCACTAATTCGATACACATGAAAAAATAAAAGAATCTGTTGAGACCGATCTTCCATTTAACCTAAAATGTTCATATTTTGACAGCATCTTTTTTCCCACCTAAAATAACTATTTCAGGTGTAGCCCGTTGGAAAATAGATATATATTTTTTTTTGAAACACCCTAATATATATATATCAAACGGTTTATTTTTAAACCAAGTAACAAAATGTTTCAATTTTAAGCCAATCAAAATGCTTTAAAGTCGGGTGATTAAAATTTTTATTTATTCAATTTTTTGTAAAAATTGAGCTTTGTTGAATTAACATTTTTTTAAAAAATTAAATGATATTTAAATGAATTGATTTAAGTCTTAAAGCAAGTGTACCTAAAACATATTTAATTTAAGTAAAAAAAGTATTTAAGTATACGAAGTCAATTGAAACAGCAAAAAAACAAAAAATTTACACATCTGCGGCATTTATACATAAAAAGCATTGTTTTCAAAACAATCTTTATACGAGGGTCGGTCAACACTTATTTCATTGTTTTAATGTACTATATTAATGCGCCATGCACTTAATTGATTGCACCCACAGGTCTGTGATTGCACCCTATATTTCTTACTGTTTCAATTGACTTCGTATAGACTATACTTAAATACTTTTTTTTTAAATGTTAAATAAAAACATTATTGCAGCGATAAATCGATAAATTTTTCATATTAATTTTGATTGTTGAGTTAACCATCCATTTGAAATAAAAGTAAAAATGCAGTGTCCGAATCGAAATAATTTTTGTTATGTATGTGGTTTATTTGCACCTCCAAGCCATATGCGAAATATTACAAAAAGTGTAGTAACAGCTTTTGAAGACTATTTTTTCATGACGTATATACCAAACTTATGGTATGTACCAGAGGTTTTATGCGATTATTGTTACCGTTGTTTGCATGGATTGCAAGATAAAACACACGTGCAGTACAGTATGAAATATGTTGCACACCAACAATTTGGCTTCGACCCGTCGCGACGTACCGAACACGCATCTGACCAGTGTTATTTCTGCATGTCAAAATTAAAAAGTTTTGGATTTCGGTACAATACTAGAGAGAAAATTGATTACGCCGATGTAGAATCCGTCATTCTCGCAAGAGTGCGATCTGAAGATGATCCAACTGCTCCTTCAGAAAACATATGTGAGGATAAAAGTAAAAGACCTTTAACACCCAGTACAACCATTTTTTCCGAGGTGGAATCTGAATTTATTCCCTGTAGTTCGGGTTATAAAGTACATTTTATAACACAGGACATGAAAGTACATATGTCACTGAAAATACATTTTCTCCATGCTCATTTGGACTATTTTCCACCAAATTTGGGCGATTTTAGTGACGAACATGGCGAACGTTTTCACCAAGACATTTTAACAATTGAAAAACGCTTCAAGGGAAAAACGTCAGGCATTTGCTGGGTGAATATTGCTGGTCAATTGTTCGAGATTCTGAAGCAATATACAGCCTGTTCAGAATAAAACCGAATATATCTATATATATATGGGGCGTGGCCTCGCCTCCCTCCAAGGCGCGTCACAGTTGCTTGTGTGATAAACGACATGACGAAAGGTCGAGCAGGTAAGGACTTAAAAAATTAAATGATAATAATGCAAAAAATCTCATTAGCGATGCAGTCTATTTGCTTAGCTACTGTGTCGCGCGTTGGAGGGAGGCGAGGCCACGCCCAATATATATATATATATATATATATATAGATATATTCGGTTTTAGTCAGAACGAGCTGTATAATCGTCAAACTAAACGACCAAGATTTTATTCCAACATGTATTGAATATAAGATAAATACAAAAATGTGTTTCATTAAAAAAAAAATAAAAAAAATCATTTAAAAAAAATCAAAATATAAACTTTTTTTATATTTGTTTTTTGTATTGTGTAAAAACATACAATATTTACAAAAAAATATATTTTTAACCGAGTAAAAAATGTACAATCTGTATAAGCATAAATAATAGGAATGACGGCTTAAAATTTTTTTATGACGTGATCTCGTGAAACTGTGAGACACGGGTACGTTTTTTTTACCTCTATTTTCAAAATCTGCTAAAATTTTTCATGGGAGGGAAATCGTGTTGTACTGTGTAATAAACAAATATTAATAAATTGTAGCAATTCAATAAAAAATGTTTTCCACAACATTTGGGTTAATTAAGGCAAACAATGTCTTACTTACTTACGACAAATCTGATTGTTAAAAATTGAATAACATCCACTAATTAAAAAACGTTGTGTAAATCTTTAGATCTGCAGCCTAAACCCTCAAATTAAACTCTGACTCTAAACTCTAAACTTTAGGTCGGCAAAAAGATCGACCTCATTTCCAATCGCGACGGAGATTCCTCAAGCGATTGAGCGGTCTCTGAGCCAGAGACGGTATCAGCTACCGAAACCGACCGTCATCATCGCCAGCAACCACGGCACCTCCTAATCTCCCCACTATAATCTCCTAAATCTCTCTATATACTCTATACCCTTGTTAGTGGTTAGGTATCATTAGATTAAGAGTTCGTTTTTTTATTTGGACTTTGACAACAACAAGAAAGTTATTAGACATTATTTGTCGATAAACTGTCAACTAAACTAATCAAATGTATCGTGCAAATAAAAAAAGAACTCTACTTGAGTTCGTTTTTTTATTTGGACTTTGACAACAACAAGAAAGTTATTAGACATTATTTGTCGATAAACTGTCAACTAAACTAATCAAATGTATCGTGCAAATAAAAAAAGAACTCTACTTGCCGTTGTTTATATTTTTCTACCTGTTGTTTAGTTAAATGGTATTTTTAAAAGACATTATTTACTTCTTAACTTTTCAATTTTTTTAAGGATAAAAGGTTTAAATTAATTATAAAATTAAATTTGACTTGTTTCTAGGCAGTCAATGGTATTTTGGTTTAATTAAGTTTGTTATTATTACTGGTTTACAGTTGGTAACACCTCAGGGTATTTTTTGGTAATATCAAAGTAATATTATTTGGATTTAAAGACAGAATAAACTCTTAATTTATCATTTTACATTTTTATTGAATATTAATTCCACTTATTTTGGCTTAATGTGATATGCTTAAGTCTCATATATATTGTGTACTATGTGTAAATACTTAATGTATAAAAAATAGAGAATACCAAATTATGTAAAACATATTAGAATATACTATATTATATATTTTATGATCAACTTGATACGTTTAAAAATATTTATTAAATAAAGTATATATTTAATATAAGATGCAGGTAAATAAATACTTCAAGTTTATATATTTGTAGTTGTTATAATTGTTAAAATATGTATTATTATCTAAAAATTTTCCCAGTATTATAAAGTCTTAGTGTGATTTGTTGAAAATATTAAACTTTAAGTATTTTTTAGCTGCAAAACTATTTATTTTGTTACAAAACGTTCAACAGTTTTATAAAAATCCATTGATTCTGTTGACAACAGTTAAAAATTAAAAATGGTAAAAAATCATTTCTGAATTGGAAAAACATTGTAATTATTGTAGGTTGTGATAGATTTTAAAGAGTTTATGTATATTTCAATATTTACATGTATATATGTATGAAATTGTTGCAATAAAGCGGTAAAATGAACTTTTATGCAGTTTTATTGCGATTATATTTTTTTATGAAAATCAGCATATTTACGCCTGATACTGTTTTAGTATAATGGTCTGCAACCCAAAATACCCCCCAAAGTGTCGGAAAACCACCGAAAAAATTAGCTTTAAAAAAACATATTTTAAAAAAGTAGCAAACATTAATTAAAAAAAAATCTTTATTACAGAAAAAAACATAAAATTAATTGAAATGAATTAATTTGATTTTAGAAAATAAAAGTAAACGTTAATATGTATATTGTCGGTCTGGCCTTTTTTGCAAAAAAAGTCCATTGAAAATATCCAATTACAAAATAATGAATTAAATTACAAAATTATAATTTTATAAGTCAAAGTGTCAATTAAAACAAATATTTTTTTGCGGCCCGGTAGAAAAAAAATAGAATCTAACTGAATTAAAATAAAATGATGTATTATTATATTTATCATAATATTATATGATAATAATCATTGTCGAAAATTCACTTTTTTCTTGATATCAGTGTAGGGATATTATCCGTAAAAATTTGGAAATTTTTAGAAAAATTAACTTTTGCATTTTCTTGCATTACCTTTCGAATAAAATAAAAAAATGCATAAGTCAATTTTTCTGAAAATTTCACAATTTTTTTCCAGAAATTTTAAAACCCTAATTTTGCTACAAGACGTTAAATTTTTTTATATAAATATGTATAAAATTTTGTCGCAAAAACACGGTAAAATTAACTTCAAGTAGTTTCATAGCCCAAAATATTTTTTTTTATGAAAATCACCATAACGCCTGTTTGTCTGCAACCAAAATACTGTTTTGGTATCATGGTATGCAACCCAATATACAAAATTTGAAAGGAGTAGACTGCTGCTACATCAGTATATTTGAGCTGCAAAACCATTTATTGTTACAAGACGTTGAAAATATCCATTGATTTTGTTGAGAGCGGTTAAATATTACAAATTCTTAAGAAATATGCATTCAACCATTTCCTTCAAAATTACAACAGCTGCAAATTAATAATTAAATTTTGTATGCTTCGTTGCCTATATATCCTTTCGTTTTTTCGGGTTTTCTTTGCATTTTTTAGTTTGCTGAATTAGAAAAACTGTAATTATTTTAAGTTGTGAAAGATTTTAAAAGAGTTTATGTATCTTTTTTAATATGCTTTAGGCAGTTGCAATAATCAAAATATTTTTTATTTTTGTCTGTATCATAGTATGCAACCCAGAATACAACATTTGGAAGCAGAAGACCGCTGCTAGCTTCATTATTTATCATATTTTCCACAATCCACATTGTGGATGGATTGTGATATTTTCAAACTTTTTGACGTTTCGCGATTCTAGACTAGAATTTCTAGCTTATAAAAAAGTGGTTTTATGACAACGTGAAAACGCATTTTTGCATTCAATTTTTGGCATTTCAGCAGTCAAACATGGATTTATCGATACTTACCTTGGATGAAGTGGATCAGGCTCTTCAAGAAATCGAAAATAAATACTCAAAACCCACGAAATCCAAACAGAATGAATGCGTGGATTTAATGAGGGTTTTGTCGCAGGTTTGTAGATTGTAGATAATACATGGCAGCATTTGAGGGTTATTTTTAGGAGTTTGATTCGTTGGGTCTCCCGGCCATTGATTTTTCCCAAGGGTTGAATGAAAAGTTGTACCAGGTGGTGACAGTTTCCAGAATGTTGGTGCAATTACACCGCAAAATGGTGTCGGAGATGAAAGATGTGAATATTAATTGCAAGACAAAGGATAACATCAGTAATGATTTGCATGTAAGTAAACATTCTTAATTGGACTTATTTTGCTTAGCTGTGAATCTATTGTAGAAGAAAATTGACGACCTAAAACTAAAAGTTGCAAAAAGTGAAGACAAAAATATGAACCTAAGGAATAGAATGATTAAACAGTCGAAAGAATGCAGTGAAAATATTAAAAAGGCTGAAGCTCTGAAAGAAGAATTGGACAAAACTAAAAAATATTACACATGCAAAATAAATGATGTGGATAGAAATATTAAAAAATTGGTCAATGAAAATCAAAAATTAAAAGAACGACTTGGGGAAGATATCGGTGTGTATTTATTTATTTTTAATTTATTTGGTGCTTATTTTGTTATTTTCAGGTATCCACCACTCAAAAGACGATGTTACTGTTAGGTTAATAAAAAAATTTAGGTTAAATGAGGAGCTGTATAAAAATACAATTAAGAAGCTGCAAGAAAATAACAATGAACTTTTACGACAAGTTTCTTCTTTAAAAGAAGAATGCACAATGTGATAAAATAAATAAGACTGATTTAGTTTTATATATTTACTAAGCAATTAAATTGACTATTTTTATTACAAAAATAAATTATGTAATTACCTACATCCTGTTTTTATTCAGTCATTTTAAGGTTTGGCAAAATAAAAAACAAAACTTAATCAATTACTTGTATTCATAATTTAATACCGTGGACAATTTTGAATACGAACGCATCTTTTTGACTCCTCATCTCTAATAAATCCCATTTTACAGTAACAAGCATTTTCGCAGTTGGGGTCGCAATTTCCAAACTGTCTATTTTGGCACGTTGCCACACATTTAGATTTGCAGGCCCATTCGGCATTTGGGTCCTCACAGGTTTGCTCTGGAAAAAAAATAATTTTTATTATGGGTACTTACTTAATTTCTAAATCATAACTAAAGAAAGAATAAAAAGATAAGATCCTAAAGTGTTTAATTTGGCAGGGAATCCCCCAAATATAGTAGTGACATCTGTTGAGAAAAGTCCTAACGTCAATTGAAATGTCAAAATTATAATTAATAATTAGAGATATATATATATATATAGATATATCTCTGTTTATAATACACTTTTGTATTTAACGAAGGTGTAAGTACATGTATAAGTTTTTATAATTCTTTTACTGTGACATACTTACTTGCTAAAATGACAGTAGCCGCACAAACAAGCAAAAAAGTTAAAAACACAAATTTCATTTTAGTTGCTTTAAAAACCAACAAATGGAATTTAATGTTTTTAAATGAACAAAATGTGTGTTTAAATACAAAAGAATTATCAAATTACTAATAAAATTATGCAAGAAAATATTAAATTATCATACAAGCAAAGTTTTTAATTGTGCATTATATGATATATTATCATAATTTGCATTAAATTATTCAAACACGCGCAATATAACTATCATAGTTTATTTAGGTTTAAGAAACAGTTATAATCTACTTATTATTGCTAATTATTAAATTAAATCAATTAAAACTGTTTTCGCATAATTTTTTAAATCTCGTACTTTTATTGCAGTGTTGCCAGTTTCTCAACCAACACACACATAAATTATATTTTCACATTTCTATTTCTACAAATTCAGTTGCACAATAACACAATATATTTAATGAATATCGATTAAAGTAGTTATTTGTATTATTTGGCAATGTATTTTAAGAAACTTATTACTATTTATGAAATCTGACAACAATATTCCTTAACATTTCAATTGACGTTTCTCAAATGTCAAATATGTAAATATTTATAAAATGTTTCGTTTCTTCTTAAAATTTAACGAAATAACAACATTAACTTATTTATTATATTACTAAAAAATTAATATATTATAGGTAAATAGATATATTAAAATTACCAAAATTAACATGTGGTAGGTATGTGATACAATATTTATTTATAGATGGATTAAATATGGAATATTCTGACACAAATTCAACATGTTCGGATACATCGGAGGGCCTTATTTCCAGTATATCGTGTGCCAGCGGTTACCAAGACGAATTTCAAGAGTTGAGGCATTTAGTAAACCCGAAAAAATATCCCGACTTACCACTCAGAAACTGTTTGACCCCTACTCAAACCAACAAGCAGGAAAACGAACATGAAGCCAAAATAAATCGATTAAATGCAGAGCTGCAGAATGCTCTGAGAACAAACGAGAAGTACAAAATAGATTTGTTTAATTTAGAGAAGAAGATAGAGCTGTCTTTTCACGATAAAGTGGAGGCTCTAATTAGGAGAAATAGGGTTTTGGAGGTACAGGTAGAAAATTCCAACAACCAAGTGGAAAGGTTAATTAAAAATTTCGGTAATGTTGGCAAATCTTTGATTACTTGTTCCAAGTGTTTGAAGTTGGAAAAAATAAATTACGAGGTAAATTCTAGTATAATAAGTTTAAAGGATGAGGTGGGGCAGTATAAATCGTTAAATAATGAGTTGGTGGAGAAAAATAAAAAATTATCCATTGAAATACAAGAAATAAGGCCACTCATTGATATTAGGAATGCCTGTGTGAAAGATTTAAAGGAAAAAATCACAAAACAACACGTGGAAATTCAAAAATTGCAGAGAAATGAAGATTTTTTAACCATTGGGGTAAGTAATTTAAAAAACGAGTTAAATCACGTTAAAAAATCTGAGGAGTGGTATAAAAACCAACTGCATTTGTGCCAAAATGAGAAACAAGTGTTATTGGAAGATATTTTAATGCATAAAAACAATTTAGCAGCAAAATACAAGGAATATGAAGACTTGAAAATAGAGATAAACGTTTGGAAAAGCAGGTACACTGAATTAGAATTAAAGTTGATAAAAGAGAAAGACTGTGTTAGTAAGTTTGTGGAACCTAAAATCACAATACAAAAAGAATTTGTGGGTGATTTGGACAATTCTACAAATCAAACTATAGCAAATTATTATGAAAACGTCATACAAGATTTATATGGGGAAATAAATCAAATAAAACACACATTCAATGAGAAAAACTCAACATATACAAAAATTTCGAAAGAGAACTCGGAGCTAGTCTCCCAATGTCTCATGCTGCAAAAATCCTTACAACTGAGCCAAGTTAATTTAGAAGACAAAGAGAATATAAAAAAAGATCTGCAATTAAAATTAACTCTCCTTACAAACTCCGAAAATAATAAAACCCAGGAAATACAAAAATTACAGCAGGAATTACAAAACGCAAGAATAGAGTTAACTGCAAGAAATCAAGAAAAAGATATGGTGGAAAACACTATACAAACTATAAGACAGTATTTTGGGGTACTTAAAAGTAACTATGAAAAACTAAAGGGGCAGATTAACAAGAAAAATAAAGAAGTCCTTCAGTTGCAGAATGAAAAACAAGAATTGTTTATGAATAATAACTGGAATTTGTGTGAGTTAGAGAAAGTTAAAGAACAATTGTTGATTATTAAGAAGTTACAGGAAGTCATTGCAAGAAATGAAGAAGATATGCTAAACATGCAAAAATCAATAACAGAAAATGAGGAAAAAATAAAAACTCTACAATCAGAGTTAACTTTAAAGGATCAACAATCAAATACGGATTGTGATAACATTAGGATTAAACTAATAAAAGAAATAGAAGTTTACGATGGTATTATACTTCAGTACAAAAGTTTGATCGAAAAAAGCGATAATAAAGTATCAGAATTGCAAAGAAAACTCAACAACAGTAATTATCTTAATGAACAACTTACAGATAACATGGAAATACTGAAAAACCACATCAAAAATAAAGATGATGATCTTGATATAAGCCAACAAAAGATCCAAAGTTTAGAAAAACAAATATCCAACTTATTTGAAGAAAACCAACAAAACAATTTAAATAACAAATTAAAAGATAGCAAAAGTACACAATGCGAGCGAAATAATGAGCTCAAAACTATGTCAAATGATAGCAGAAAAACCAATCTAAAAAACAAAATGTTGGAATTGCAAAACAAAATCAACATACTGCAGGATAAAAATAACGAAATTTGCTCCAAAATGCAAATATATGCTAATAATTTCAAAGTAGTTAAAGAAGAAAACAATTCGAATAACGATAGCGACGAAGTCAAAAATTTAAAGGCGTTGCTAGCTTTTAAGGACTTGGAAAAAAAAGAACGACAAAAAACGTGAGTAAACCAACTAAAAAGTCGCAACAAGAGACACCCTTTTAAGATTTAAGTTCTGAAAATTTTAAAAAAGTGAAGATTTTGTTTTTCAAAATTTAATTAGATTCTAGACATTTTAAAACAAATTTAAAATCTGTGGATTTTAGAAATTTTGAAAAACTGAAAATTTAAGAAATCTTGAAAATTTTGGAAAGTTTGAAAAATTGTATTAAAAGTTTATTTATAGAAGAGGGTAGAAAACGGTTTTACAAAAAACGATTCTAGAAAATTTGGAAAATTTAAAATTAAAATAAAAATGGAAATTTTTCTAAAAACCTGAAAATTTTAGAAGTCTTAAAAAATCTGAAAATGTTAGAAATCTTAGAACTTAAGAATTTTGAAAAATTGTATCGAATTTTATTTTGAAGTTTTTCAAAATGTTATTTAAACATCCTAAAAGTAAGAAAATTCTAAAATTTTGAAAATCCAAGTAATTTTAGAAATTCTTAAAAAATCTGAAAATTTAAGATCTTGAAGATTTGTGAAATTTTGAAAAAATTTATTTTTAATTTTTTTTATAAAAGAGGCGCAAAACAGTTTTTTTAAATTTTATTAAATATTATGGAAATTTTAAATTTTGGATATTTAAAATTTTTGTTTTTTTTTTAATTTTGAAAATTTAGAAAAAATGATAATTTTGTAATTATTAATTTAAAAATTTTGAATAATCTGAAAATTTCTAAAACTTAAAAATTTTGGAATTTTGATAAATTTTGTATTGAAATTTATTTATTTTATAGAAAACAGTTTTTCAAATTTTATTTTTAATTTTTTTTATAAAAGGGCGCAACAGTTTTTATTTTATTAAATATTATAGAAATTTGAAATTTTGGATATTTAAAATTTCTGATTTTTTTTTAATTTGAAAATCTGAAAATTTTAGAAATTTTTAAAAATCTGAAAAGTTCTTAATCTTGAAAATTTTGGAATTTTGATAAATTTTGTATTGAAGTTTATTTATTTTATAGAAAACAGTTTTTCAAATTTTATCTTTTTTAAGTTTAAGGATTTAGAATTATGGAAATTTTGAAAAATTTTATCTAATTTTATTTTGAAGTTTATTTATTTATAGGTTTTCAAAATTTTATTAAAAAGATCCCAGAAATTTTGGAAATTTTAAGATTTTACAAAATTATGTAAAATTAAAAAAAAAATTAAGAAATCTTGAAAATTTGGTAAATTTTGAAGATTTTATCAAATTTTATTTTAAACTTCATTTACTTACAGAAGAGGGCAGAAATCAGGTTTTTAAAATTTTATTAAATATAAGGAAATTTTGGAAAATTTTTTTTGATATTTTAAAATTTCTAAAAAAATTATTCAATTTGAAAAAAATTAAAATTTTGTAAATATTTAAAAAATCTGACGATTTTAGTAATTTTGTAAAATCTATAAATTTCTAAATCTTTCATGAATTTTTTTAAATTTCTGGAATTTTGAAAATCTAATTTTAGAAATTTTGAAAAAATCTGAGAATTTGGGAAATTTAAAAAAATTTTATCAAATTTTATTTTTATTTTTTTTTATAGAACAGTTTTTTTAAAATTTTATCAGATTATGGAGATTTTTTGGATATTTTAAAAATTAAAAAAAAAATGATAACTAAATATTTAAAAACTGAAGATTTAAAAAATTTTAATAAATCTGAATATTTGAGAATTTGAAAAAAATTATATTGAAGTTTATTTATTTATGGAAGTTTTTCAAATTTGTAATGATTCTAGAAACTTTTTCAATGAAAATTTTGTAAAGTTTGACAAAATCTGAAGAATTAGAAATTTTGAAAAATCAGAAAGTTTTAGAAATCTGAGAAAAAAATTTGAGAAATTTTAAAAAATTATTTTTTATTTTATTTAAGGCATGAATCCAACAATCGCACTCTACTGAAAAAAGTGAAAGAGCACATGAAGGGCAGAAAAACTGCGGAAAAACAAAATTCCTACCTACGAAATTTGTTTGACGCTCTATCGGAAGAGCACAACAATACGAAATTAAATCTCAGCTCCAAGGAATTTGAAATAAACAACCTAAATTCAATTATTAAGGAGTATGATGGCATTAACAGAAAATTAAAACAGAGTATTATTGGTTTGGAAAAACAAATCGAAAATTTTAATTATTGCGAAAGTTGCGGGGAGTTTGAGATTACCAAAAAACAATTGAAAGATTTGCAGGATTTATTCGAGAAATTGCAAGACGAGAATTCCGAGCTCCAAAGGGATTTTCTTGTTACCAAAGATTGTAACAATAATTTAAAGCAACAGGTGAGTGCCAATTTAAATTTTATTTAATTTATAAACAAGAATAATATTTTAATTTAGATACAAGATTTGTTTAAAACAAATGAAGATGAAAGGAGCAATATAAATGTTGCTTTAAATGATAATAAAATTTTGAATAGCAAAGTATTAGAATTGGAAAATAAAATGAAAGTGAATGAAAACGAAAAGCAAAGATTATGTGAAGAAATAACCAGTCTAAAACAGTTTATTAACAATATCGATGCTGAAAAACAACAAATGACTTTGAAATTAAAAGAAACAAATGAAAAATATGATTATGTTCTAAAAGAAAAAGAGGTGGGTATAATTAAATTTGTTTTAATATACCCAACAAATATTTTTTGCAGTTATTAAGCTGCAAACTTGATGAGTTAAGTGAAGAAAACGAACAGCTTGAAAAAAGTAAAAGAAATACTGAAGAAAACTATAAAAGTAAAGAACAAGAACATTCAATTTTGATTGGCAGGTTCAAAGACCATATAAAAGTATTGCAAAACGATTTTGAGTCGCAAAAAACCGAAAAGTTTTTCTTGCAAAGGCTTTGCAAGGACCTTAAATTCGCATTGCAATCAAATATCAACCAAAATAAGGTAAATATAGTTTCTACCATTTTACAGCGCCCTCTGTATTTCAGAATATAAAACACACTCCCACTGACATACAAAACGGTAGAACCTCAATTGACTTAAAAAAAATAAAACAAATTGTTTTTAGAGTCTAACACTGCATTTAAGCACATGTCTTAAAGACAAAGAAGACTACACCAGTTTACCCATAAATTTACCTGAGTTGCCAAAAAACAACCAGTATGATGAAAAGTTTGTTACCAATTTGCTGCAGCAAAATAGGGCTTCAATGGGAGATAAACCCTTAATAGAAATTAAGGGGTGTTTGGATTCGTTAAAAAACGAAATATCCTCGTTGCAGCAGCAAATTAGCGAAAAAAATATTTATTTGTAGTTTATAAAGTATTTATAGTTTATAACAGTTAAATTGTGATAAGTATTTATTGTTGATACATTAGTGGTTTTCTGGGAATATTCCTTACTAATTATTAAATTAACACCAAAATCCATGTAGGTATTAAATTTTAACATATTGACGCTTTTACTACTTAGTTTTATGTTAATTAAAAAAGTATAGTTATTGTTTTCGTTATTTGTACTTAATTTTATGCCTGGTAAAAATTTATCTAAATTTTTACAAAGGCCCTGTTTTATAACATTCCATTGACTGTGATTACTTGTTTAAAAAATAAAAAAATATTCAATAAAATCAGTTTTATTTATATAAAATCTAATAGTAAAGTTTATTTATAAAAGAGGGAAGAAAACAGTTTTACATTTATTAAATGTTCTAAAAATTTTGGATATTTTATAATTTTAAAAAATATGAAAATTTGAGAATCCCAGAAATTTTGAAAATTTTAAGATTTTTTAAAAATTCTGAAATTTGAAAGATTTGATAATTTAAGAAATTTGGGAAATTTTGACAAATTGTATTAAAATTTTTGGAATCTTTTTTCGATTTTTTAAAAATTAAAAAAAATGATTATTGTAATTATTTCAAAAATCTGAAGATTTTAGAAATTTTAAAAAATCTGAAAATTTCTAAATCTTTGGGAATTTTGAAAAATTTTATATTAAAGTTTATTTATAGAAAACAGTTTTTCAAATTTGTATTAAAAATTTTAGAAATGTTCAACATTGTAATATTTTTTTTAATTTAAAATTTTTCAAATTTTCCAAAAAACTGAAGATTTAGAAATAATATTATTTGAAAATGTTAATCTTGAAAATTTGGGAAATTTTATCTAATTTTATATTAAAATGAAAAAAATGAAAATTTTGCTAAAAAATATAAAAAAATCTGAAAATTTTAGAAATCTTGAAAATTTGGAAATTTAAAAAAAAAATTATTTTAAAGTTTGTTAAAGAAGAGGAAGTTTATAAAAAATTTATTAAAGATCCTAGAAATTTTTAAAATCTCTAAAATTTGTAATTTTAGAAATTTTCAAAAAAATCTGAGAATTTAGAAAATATTGAAAAATTAGGTAATTTTTGACAAATTTTGTTTTAAAGTTTTTTTTATAGAAGAGGGCATAAATAGTTTTTTAAAATATATGAAAGTTATGGAAATTTTAAAAAATTTTCATATTTTAAAATTTCTGAATTATTTAAAAAAATCTGGATTTAGAAATTTTGAAAAATCTGACAAATTAAAACTATCTTATGTTTATTTATTTATAGAAAACAAATTTTTTAATTTTTTTGAAAACTTGCAAAAATCTCTGAACATTTAGAAATTTTAAAATATATGAAAATCTTGTAAATTTGGGAAATTTTGAAACATTTTATCTAATTTTATTTTGAAGTATATTTCAAAATTGTATTATAAAAATTTTAGAAATTTTAAATAAGTTTTGCAAAAATCTGAAAATCTTGAAAATTTGGGTATAAAATTATATTTTAAAGTTTATTTATAGAAGATGGCAGGAAAAGGTTTAAATTAAATAAAATCAGTTTTTATTCATATAAAATCTAATAGTAAATGCTGAAAACTTTATGAAAAGGAAGGCCCTTTTCCATCACCTCTTTGGCATGTTTTCTTCTAAAATCCCAGAGAAAATGATCAATTAAAATGCTGTTGATTTTTTTGTCCTCCAGTTTACTTGAAGCATATTCTTGCAATAATTCAACTGCATGAATTGAACAACCCCTTATTTCTACCTCCATTTCTTTCCCATTTTTAAAAATAGTATTCTCCTTCAACATCTTTAACAAATCCTCATCATATTCAAGTATATCATACCAAAGTAACGTCTGGGGAACTCTATAATCAGCGAACATTGTAATTTTCTCAATGTCATTGAAATGGCCCAAATCTTTACCGCGAAAACAAGCCCAGATATCCCCCACTAAAATTTGCGCCCTCTTGTATATAGAAACCATATTTCCTTTATATTCTGCCTCGTCTTTGAAGCAACTAAAGTTTTCCACAATTAAATTCAGTAGATTTTCGGCGCTATTTTCCGCCTTTATCACAACATTTTTAAACGATCCATCGAACTTCTCCATTAAAGTAAGCCCGACCTCATGCAAGCATTGCACTCTTTCGCTCAACAGAGGCACTTTAACTTTGGTATCGCTCCGTAAAATCTTCAACAAACGGTCCTCGGTTATGGTGGAATAAAAGTCTGGATCCAAAATTTTGACTTCCTCGCTCAAAGCTCTATTAATCGCTGCACACAGGGCAAAATACCCTGTGTGACCGTCAACTTTCCATCCTTCTTCGTTTTCGTGGTGCCAGAAGCAGAAATTCAACGTGTCCACCACGAACAACCAATCTATAGCCCATGGATCTTCCGGATTCGGGTGGACGTCGACTTGGCTGAAATTGTCCGGTGATAGTTTTCCGGTTGAGATTTCTTCTACGAGGATGTCGCCCAGTTTTTTTATACCTTCCCGGTTGATTTTAACGTGTGTGGCCAAAGTGGCGATCAATTTTCCTGATTCTCTGGGATTTAAAGCCATATTTTCGGAAAATTATCCTGCAAATTTTTAAGTTAACTATAACCTCAAAATGTCATGTCGTAAAAGTGTTGTTCCTGGTTGGTAAGTTTCAAGCAAGGCAACTTGATTACTGATAATGATAATTTCATTTCATATCTGATACAATTTAAATAAAACCATAAAAATATATAGTATAGTATATTTTTTAATAATTAAAAGATGAAAAATTATTGCTGCATATCTACAATTTTCTCTAAAAATTGACTAACATTTTCCTTCATTTGCAAATGAAATTTTTGTGGAACCCTCATTATATCTTTTAATTCGTTCCTAAAAATATAAAAAAAAAATGTATAAAATATATATAAGAAAATCTCATAAGCAGGGCCGGATTTAAATTTTTAGGGGCCCTATGCATAAGTCAAAGAATTTGAGAATAATTTAACCTAACTAACCTAGCCTGTGCCAATACTTTTGAATATTATTGCCAATGGTTGAGTATTGAATATGTGTTGCTTATTAATTCCCATTAAACCGTAATTGTAAATTTATTAAAAATTTTAAATGCATGGCCAACATGTCCAAAAGTTTGGAATTTTCCAAACTTTTGGACATGTGTGTATGTTACGGTAAAAATCCAAATTGAGTGGTAAATGTCAGTATAAAATGATAGTGGGAGGGGCATCGTAACATCTCAGTCCATAGTTGCCACATTCTCAATTAATACTAGTATATCGAAATGTAAATTAGTTTCCATGATGAGGAAGGGAAATATTGTGATAGGTATTATTTAACAATCCCTTTGTCAATAACAAAGATAATAAAGAAAAACAATTTTTTTCACAAAGTATGGTTTTCTTATTGCCGATGCATACTTACCACATTTGTTCACAAACTACTCCATAAACCTTTGGAGTGGGAATACCATTAAAATTGGTGGCCAAGGTCAATGTATAGGCTCCGACATTCTCAAAGACAATCCAGTCTCCAATATTCATTCTTGGCATATTGACATTTTCACAGATTTTGTCTGACGAATCGCAAGTGGGCCCCCATATAATAGTGGGATATTTTTTCTCATATATATTTTTATTCAAGGCTTGAGGTACATAATGCTCACCGAAGAAAAGGCCCAAAAATGTGGTATAGGTGCCTGCATATACGTAATACATATACGTATACAAGCCTGTAGGATCTGGTTCAGTTACGGTAATAGAATGTATTCTGGTGGCTATGGTAAATGCAGATTCCACGTAGTACGTTCCTGGTTCAGCGACTATTGCAATCGAAGGGTCGGAAAAGTGGAGGTTTATGCCTTCATTTATAATTTTTGATACCTAAATAAATAATAATATTAAATTAATTAATTTTAGTTTATGTTTGTATGTAGGTACCTCTTCTATAGATGTGCCATGGGCTCCTGGAAAACCGCCTCCAATGTCCAAAATATTAAATTCAAATCCCAGGTTGGTAGCCACGTCAAAAACATACCTAGCTGCTTCAATAGCTGCACTGTAAACTTCTGGAGTCTTAATTACTGACCCAATGTGAAAACTCACCCCAACTACTTTGATTTCTAATTGCTTGGCTCTAGCCAACAGTTCTGGTGCTTGGGTAATATGATTACAACCAAATTTGCATCCGTATTTGTAACGTGCCTTTTCGTCATCATACTTTATTCTTAGTATTAACCTAAAGTAAACTTGATTATTTTATACACATAATAACATTATGTTTAAACATTCAATTTTCTTAGTTTCTTCCCATCAATGGTATTATTCAAAAGAATTGGACCTTCACCACACCGGATCACGCGATGTTCTTACATCTCACCTCTGTTGGCCTACCCGGGCAGTATATAAGCTTAGGTAGTCTCTAGCGAGGTGAAGGTTCAATTCCTTTCAACATTATGTTTCTTACTCAGCTTTGGGATGGCTATTTTTAATTTTTTCCAATTCCCACGCATTATCGAAAGTCATTCTCAGTACATTAACATCTTCCGCATATTTTATGTGAGTCTCTGGTTTGGTCGGATTGGCATATATAATTCTGCTGGGTTCCACATTTAAATTTAAAATTTTTGAAATTTCGTCTTGGGAAGCGCAGTCGAATCCGATACCCAACGAAGCCAAAGTTTCAAGAACTAATGGATGGTCGTTGCATTTTACAGCTGTAATTTGTTATTATTGTATTCAGTCCTGAGTAAATAATGAAGACCTTTAATAATTATTGTAATTGTAACTATTGTAAAATATGCATTTTCACAAATTATTCATTTTTAAACTCTGTATACAATTTTAAGTAAAATTACTATACAATGTACCTAAGAAGGTGACCTTAAACTTATGTAATAGTATGACAAATTTCTTACTTCAGCTTTACGTAAGAAAATGACCTAAAACTTAGGTAATATTATGACAGATTTATTACGTCAGTCTTACGTAAGACAGTAACCTAAAACTTATATAATATTATGACAGATTTCTTGTGTCAATCTTACGTAAGAAAAGTGACTTTAATGTTACGTCAAGATATGACTTTAATATTACATAAGATGTACGTAATATGTAAGTCATTTAATTACATTATATGAAAGTCACGTTTTGGGTCAGTATTATGTCACTATGACGTAAGAATTGTATTACCTACGTGTTACGTAAATTTTAGGTCATAAGTCAGGGTTTGGTTCACTGGGAAAGTACTTAATATCTTAAGAGCTCAAATCTATTTAAATTTTATTTGGTGGAATGATCCTTATATGTTTTTTATAAAATTTCACTTAAAATACTAAAGAAAAACTAAAAAATATATTTTTTATGAAATTTGATAACCCTCCCCCAGGATCAAATTCTACGTTATTAAAACTTATAATATAATATAATAACTTATTATATAAATAAATAAATAACTTATTATATAAATATATAATAAAAATTTGTTACCATAATAGGTTTCCACCCTTGGCATAAATTTTTTCCAATTGAAATATTTTTCGATTATATTTCCAACATCGCACACATAAAAAGCCTCATCTTGATTTTTATTGTTGGAAATATCTTCAATGACGGACCAAACACTAGATTTTGAATTCAAAAATTGAAGTTTATTTTCCAATTTGGAAAGCATAATTTCTTTTCTATTCTCTTTAGTCGTTATTACAACACTTTACTAATCTATTATAAAATTAATTGATGTAATATTGTTTTAAAAACTATAAAAAATTTAACAATGACTTTAGATCTATTTGTACATAGGTTTAATCAAAAAATAATATAAGTGTTAAACTAATAAACTGATAAAAATGATGTTTTCTTAAGCCAAGGTCCATTAATTTTGTTAAGGAAACTTACATATATAATTTCTCCTTCCACCTTTAAAACGCACATTATTATTAAGTGAAATTTTAAATACACATTGACAAGTTGTGGCTTTATGACGTTTAGTCACGGGCTGAAGTTAGCTACAGGTTTTTAGTCACGTGCTGAAGTTGTCAAATGTCATACAATCGTTAAAATAAAGTTCCCTTCTTGTGAAATAATAATGTGGACATTATTTTATTTTATATTAACTGAAACCATTCAAAATTTCGGGTAAAGACTCCACCGTGAAGTGCCCATAAAACATTCTCTTCACTTTCACTGTGAAAAACTGCCTCTATTTTACCATTTATGGTTGTTAGTCCATTTTCAAGGGGTGCATTTTGATTAACACATACAAATTTGACATTTTGACTGGCGCGCCGGTAATACAGATTCCCAAGTTGGTTACTCTATTGTTTTATAGATGTCGCTCTATACAAATACTTATTTTAAATCATTTTTAGATAATAATAAATATTTGTAGTAGAAAAACTCGTTTAGAAACTTTTAAAAATACTAACAGTACCAAGTATTTATATACTAAATAGTTTACTATTTGCTAAAAATAATAATTTAAACTTTGACAAAAACAACAAATTTCACTCATATTCAACAAGAAATGCAAATAAAATAATGTCCACTGCACACAAAACAACAAAATTCGAGAGGTCGGTCACATACGCATCAGCCAAAATATACAATAATTTACCAGAAAGTATAAAAGAAATAAATAATTTAAATAAGTTTAAAAACGAGTGTAAAAACTTCCTGGCAAATCACTGTTTCTACAGCACCCAGGAATATTTTCAGAAATGTTAGATACCATAGCTTTAAAAATGTATGCTTGTGTTCTGTTCTTTTTGTTTTTATACATTTATTTTTGAATTATAAATGAAACCATAGTTTAAGTACAAATATATGTGTGTATATATGTGTATTTATCTGTATTTGTGAACCATGCAAATTACTTTAATGACGTGTACACCCTATTATATCTAGGCAAAGTATAAATAAAATATTATTATTATTATTATTATTATTATACACTTATTACTAAAATGACGTATATCAAACATGTTACATAATATCATTGATAATAAATTATAGTAACCATTGTTTTTCCTTATTTTATTGATTTTTAAATTAAAAATATCTAAGAAAAATAAATAAAAATCCATTGTGTTTTTATCAGATAACTTTAAATTATTAAATATTTTTTTTTAATTTAAAGCCAAGTATAATCAAGTTACCTTAAGGTAATCAGTATTTTTAGACTAACTATATTTCTTTGAAAGTAATTTATGAATATTACCGCTTTGATAATATCAGGGACAAATGAATGTAAACAGATTTGCAATGTTTATTTGTATTTCACGTGTGCGAAAATTTTATGAAGCTTTTTAATTCAGTGTAGGTAAACCCTATTAAAATATTTTAGATATAATTTTATATATTTAATCAAAACATTGAACTTTATTTATAGTTGTCTTAAACCGTTACAGACTCTTTTAAAGAAGTTGTGAAAATATAAATTGTTTGTTTACATTTGTAATTATTTCCAGAAAGTAACATTTCTGGATGAAATTACTTGACTAACGTTAAAACAAATAATATTGAATTTAAATAATTATTTTCCATCCCAAACTTTTCCATTGAAAAACGAATAGAAATTTTCAAATTTCTATAATAAAATTAAATAGGAATTTACATTGCTCATATTTTATTTAAGGTCGATAAAAATGGTATAATTTATATATATATATATATATATATAAATCCAAAGTAAAACATCAAACTATAGTTTGATGTTTTACTTTGGATTTTACCTTTGGATTGAAAAAGGTCAAGTAGCAGTACATCGCAGTAAATATAAGAACTTCAAACATTCAGACGCGCCCTCGTATGGAATAATCGCGATCTAATAATAAAAAAGCGTCTGGACGCTAGCACCTGACGCGTCTTATTTACTTTGGACGCCGATGAGTCTTAATTTCGCACCACAGGATAGCATTAATGAAACTCTGATGCCAATCAACGCGTCAATTGTAAAACTGTATTGAAATTATTCTGAGTGGTCCTGTTTATCTTTTATTATAATTATTATTTTAATAAAACTTTGGTTCTTCGAAATGGGTCAAATAAACGAATCCAAAGAAACAATTATCGATGGGCACATGATTGATTTTATCATGGACAGCAGTCAGATACTGTATGATGAATCTTTAAGAGTAAGTAGGTACATACCTTTTATTAATAACACTATGATAGTTTTAGACACTTTTTTTCCTAACATTAAGTACTCCAGCTTGGTTTAACTAATTTTGGGCCGCTGATTTCAAAAATGTCATTAGTTTTTCTCTAGGACGTCCAGGATTTAAAATAATTTCGTAATAAAATGCTCTGCTCAAGTTTTTTGTTAGTATTTTAATTATTTATTAAATTAGGTATTTTGGCTTAAATTTATCTTGAATGTACTGAAGTAATTGGTATACGACAAATAGATCATATTTATCTTAACAATATGACATTTTAAATACTAAAACTAAAATTGTAATGTATTTTATGTAAAAAAACAACCATTATTTGACATTTTTTGTCGTTTATTTTAATTATTAAATTGAAAGGGCAACAAAGTAAACAAGTTTCAGTATTTTTTATCCAAATTAAGCCCTTAAAATTTAATGCATTGCATAATTTTGCTTTTTTCTACCTTAAATTTATTAAATCGTATCAAATATCGAATTGGATTATAGTATTATTGTGCTTAATCCTCATCATCGTCGTACATCTTTTGCTGCAAATTCCAGCAAATGCCTCCTATAGTTGGATTCATTGCTATAGCAATGAATCCAACTTCTTTCCGCTATACCCAAAGATATCTCCAATGCTCTAGATTTGCAGTTACTTGGTGAAACCGTTCTCCATGTTCATCAGTTGGGCAAATTTATCAGGATGAAAAAAAAAGAAAATTTATTTTAAATGGCATATTAACGCTAATTCTTTACAAAACGGAGAGCATTTTTTCAATAAATTGACGCCAATTTTAATCCCAAAATGAACCAAGAACATTTTCAATGACAGCTTTAACACTGCCATATGCGACAAGCTCGTCAACTTTGAGAGCATTTTTGAATGCTTGATATTTCATTAAACGTCGCATATCAGGTCCATTTAATATTCTTGCAAAATTAAAGTAGTAGGTATATCTCATAAAATTTGTAATGAAATATTGGGTTGGTTTTTCTTGGGCGTAAAGGTACCGCAACAAACACTTCCATTAAGTACCACTTCCATTTCCTGCTCTTTTTTCAGTTTTGGTTCTTAAAATCACTTTCAAGTAAAAATACAATTTAAAGTTTAAATTTTAAATGTCAATAATTAATAGATGCACTTTAATGTGTTTGAACGATAAAGGCGCCTTTATTCTTCAATTCGATATTAAATTTTGATAAGACTTAATAAATAAGATTCGAGATTAAATTTTTGGGTACTTTAGGCATGATGTGAATAAAAAAATATCAAATAATAGTAAAAAATAATGCTTATACCAAAACCCATTTACTTTGTTGCTTTTTCTTTAAGCCCGAACCAAAAAAACATATCAACAATTTCTCAAAACCGTTTAATAGTTGATATATTTTTTAGGCACTTTTTAATTTAATAAATTATCAAAACTTACTTTTCGTATAATTCTGCGAAAATAATTTGTTGGAGAGCTTTAAAACTGACAAAACCCAACGTACTTAAATTTGAATAACATTTTATCTGAGTCCTGCATAAAGTATTAAAATGTGTGGCCTTCTAACTCAACTCCAACAGGAACAGAGAGTGTTAAAGAGCCCTTAAAGCACTTCAAAAATTGCCACAAATTTTATTAAAGGTAAGCATTTTTATGATATAAAGAGTTTTATGAATATTTTTCCTCAAATTTCATGTATAACGTACTGAACATTTTAAAGTGCAGCGTTCGCGCGAATTAGGCAGCAGGATAATACATAAAGCACTGAGGGAGACCACGGTGCTGTTCTGAGAGGTGATTTTTGGACTTTCTGTGAAACCTAATTTTTTTTATATTCTTGTTAATTAGGTCATAACTAAAATTTTAAGAGCAAAATAAAAAAAATTTGACGGTTGAATTGTTTTAATTGGCTGTTTATTAAAAATATTATGCACTCTTTCAATTATCCAATTAAAACTAGCGATTTAATTTAAATATTTAATATTTGTATAACTAAAAAAAAGGTTTTTACAATTTTTTTATATATTTTACTGTTTTGTTGCAATAAACGTTCAAACTTTTAATCTAACCTTTGACGTATACATTATGTTCCCTTAATTAATATATCCTTAAAGGTTGCCATGAAACTTAGATCTATTAAAAATTTATTTGACGTTTGAATTGTCATTTTCAGTATACGTATTCTATAATTTTTGTTTAGTTTTTTAAAGTGTTTTTTATAAACAAAAATGAAAAATTGTAGTAAAAGTTACGAAGAAATTCATGAAATTTAACTAAGGACCGGTTTATTCATCTTTAGTAAAGTTTATCGGGCCGATAACTTTCATGTCTTGGCAATATCTAGTATCCAAAGAAATTATTCGTCAAATAAATCAAAAATGAATAAATCGGCCCTAAATAAAATGTGGCACCCTTAGAATTATTGTTTAATAAATGTATACTATACATTTAACCTTAAATTAAAACTTTAAAGGTGGATTACAACAAAACAGTAAAAGATATAAAAAATGTATAGACCTTTTTTTATGAAATTAACTAATCTTTAATCTGATTTAATGATAATATTTAAATAAAATCGCAAGTTTTAGAGAGAATTGAAAGTGTGCATACATATTTTTAATAAACATCCAATTAAAACAAAATTAATTAAAATTTTAGTTATGACCTAATTAACAAGAATATAAAAAAAAATTAGGTTTCACAGAAAGTCCAAAAATCACCTCTCAGAACAGCACCGTGGAGACGTGTGTCAAACATTTTTGTGTGAAATATCTGATAATCATTTTTGCAGGAAGAAAGGCGCAGGACGGGCAGATATTTGGCGACGGGGATAGCAATTTTCATAGTGGTGCTCGGTTTATACCATGCTGTGTCTCAGGGATCAACAAAGTACGCAACCCTGCTGGGAACGGTGCTGATAATGTTCCTGTACCTTTTGTGGCTGCTGTACGCATCGCAAAGAAAAAAGAAATTGATGAAGGTGCGTTTTTATTGAATTCTATATTTAGATTGTTTTATCTTTAGTTGGGCGAATTTTCGTTAAATGTACAATTTGTATATATATTTTGTCCAGGCAGGTCAATTTTATCGATTTTATACATAACAAAAGAAATAAAACTTATAGGGTTAATCTGAAATAGGGAAGGAACACAAGGAAGAAATGAAACATTGTCCTCCTCCTAACGCATCTTCCTGAACGTTTTATGACACATTGCTTATGACTTTTCAAACGTTATTTTTCAGAAATACTGTTAAATGTAAATATCTTTCGGCATTTGTTTGGAATTTCTACTATGCTATAATACAAAATGAAATTAAAAAAGTTAACTTCTAAAAGAAGAGTTTTATGTAGCGTTTTGTAAAAGACACCAAAAGTGTACGCAAAAAAATCTTACCTTTAAAATATTTACAAAAAAATTCACACACTTTACACGTGCTCACTTGTTGTTGCCGAACTATCAAACATGTATGCCCTCTAGAAATAACACGATAGTATCTCTATCGATAGTATTTCTATCTCGTGTCTCTATTTCGAAGCAGTTGGCATAGAAGACGACGTTAGGAAAAAGACAAGATTTTTAAATGTCAACTTTAATATTTTTTTCTGTTTAAACTACTTTGTAGAAAACTATTTTATTTTTATATACGAATAAAAGAACTTTCCATTGTTCAAAAATAATTTATTTTTTCAGAAGAAAGCTGCAAAGAAGAAGAATATAATAATTTAAATTAAAAAATCGCCTCTGGGGACAGTTAGGTTACAGGACATTTCACCTAGTTTTTCTGCCATATATGGAAACATAAAGTAATAAAAAAAAATACGATGGGTATTTAAATATAATAAATACAAAACTTATCAACAAAGGTCAAAAATAAAAATAAAATTAGCTGGGGACAGCAAATGTACATTTAACGAAAATTTGCCCAGTTATCGGGGGTGTTGAGAAGATAGAGGGAATCTACCAGTGGCGGCCCGTGACATTTCATTTTGGTTTCCCCCTTATTTAAAGGGAAAGAATTTTTTTTAAACCCAACTTAAAAAAACTGACGTCGCAGTTCACAACCTATACTTAAAACTAAGTAAATAACTTAGACTGTGGTGGGGAAGGAATCCTCTACTTTGTCAATGAAACATATTTTATTGTAAAAATGACGTTTATTTTAAATAAACCTCATTTTTGTCTAATTAATATTTTATTGTTCAGCAAGAACCACGTGAAAGTTTAGAGGTAAAGTGCAGCATTATTAATATAACCATAAGGTTTAAGCCCTAATCATTAAATTAATAATAATACACCATCTTGCCGGTAAAAAGGGAAACTGGGAAGCGGAACTGGAGAGAAAAAAGGGATAAGTGAGTTGCGTATAACTAAAAACTAAAACTAAATTCTCCTTATAAAAATGGGAACAGTGCGAAACAATCAACAAAATAAATATAACTCTTATAAATAACCAATAAAATGAATATTACTGTTATAAATAACCAACAAAATAAATAAAAAAATAAATTAATAAACATGTTTCTAAATGAATCTGTTTTCTTCAAAATTAAATAGAAATCTCACAAATTCACACATAAAACTCCTAAATTAAAATAAAAAACCTCGTCAAAAACCTATAAAAATGTTATATCTATTTATTTATTTATTTAATATTGCGTAAATAACCACATATTTGTTTTTAAAACAGTTTAGAATTCTATAACCAAAACAAACCTAAAGAAGGAATCTGTATTTATTTTATTGGTTACTGTGATGGCTGTGATAGTGTTAAAATATGTTTATTTTAGAATGGAAATATAATTTCGATTAAATCGATTTGTTATTAGAAAAATAATACCATTTAGTCTAAATTAGTTCAGGCATGCTTCTGAGCCAATCATCTAGCTATAAATATTAGTTTAAATTGCGGTCGGTTCAAATTCAAATAATTTAAATGTTGCTGGGTATTCCACGTAAAAAATCAATCAATTTTATTGACTATTTCACAATTCATGTAATCCAAATATTAAAAATTTATAGTATATTATAGAAAGTAAAATATTTAAATTATACTTAATTTTTTATTCTCTATGATGAGGCACTGCCTCACCTGCCTCCCTTGACTCCCTACTATAAAACGCAATTTATATAGTTTTATATTTTATATTTCACTGTATATTTAGATTGTTTTATCTTTAGTTATCGCAGAATTGCTAGTTGCGAGTAGGTGTTGGGAAGATAGAGAAAATCTACTGGGAAATTTGTTTTACAAATTCTATATAAATAGAAAGGCAATTTGAAACAATATTTATTTATGAATAAAATGATAAAATAATAATATCGTATAAACACATTTGTGAGAATTCCATTGAAAATGTGAATCATTCACATATGTAGGAATTTGGGTTAGATATCTATCAATAGCAATTTGGATTATATATTTATATTAACTACTTTACAAACAGTAAATATTGAAAATTGCTTCAATTATATTTTTTAGTTAAATGAAGAGCATCTGAAACGGCAAATGGGGGAAGCTGCAGCAATAATCGAAATAGAAAAAGAAAAACAAGTCCCGAAAAAGACAAAATTACACAGAAAATACAATAGCAGTCATGAAATAGCAGTACATAAAAATTTCATAAAAAACCAATTAAATCAACCAGGTCTAAACCGGACTTACTCTATAGCTTAGTAATAGCTTAAAAATGATTTTGTTACTTTTATAAACAAAACATTATTAATTAAAAAATGTAAAAATACACACAAAAATTGATGCCTAGGATTCCTGGTATTCCTATTTAATAATAAATAAGACTGATGATACACAAACTTCCTCATTTTCTTTCCACCCAAATAACCATCTAATTAATCAGCGAAATAATTTTAAAAATTGACGCATGTTTATTTTTCTAGTGGCATCATAAACAGGTCGAAATTATGTGTGCATGCAGATTAAAAGAATCGAGATTTACTACGTGTTTACAGCAGATCGTAAAATTAAAAGTAAACATTCGATTTGTTATTTTAATTTTTGGAAAAATCGCGAATGGGTATTGTCAATGTATTTAATTTGATTGAAAAAATTGCGATTTATGGACCATTAAATGTGTTTTTGTTTAGTTTGAAATATACCTACGTCAATAAGTTTATAGTTATAAAACAAAAAATTGCCATAAGGTTTGCCGGTTTTTTAAATAATAAATTTACAGATTTGCTCAATAATTATTAATGTAATGGTTTAAAAGTTTTAAATTAAAACCGATTTTTTGATATGTTTTAGAACCTTTCTTGATAATATAAAAGTGCTTAAAAAAGGCAATTTCAATGTTTTCGAGTAAATAATGTCTTGAAATCTTTAATCAAATATTGCTTCAATATAATAAATGAAGGGGTAAGAAGCAAAAAGGTTAAATTAACGTTATGTTAATTAAATTTAACTTCTTGGTTAATGTACCTTTTGGTTAAAAAGAAGGTAATATTTGGTAGTTTTTAGTTTATTTTACCCTTTTTTAACTTAAACTATAATTAATTTAGTTTATTTAACTACTATAGTATATATATATAATTATAATTTACCAAATATGGTTATGTATATCTACACCCGCCTTCCGCTGTCCGTAAGTTTGAATTTCAATAACTTTGTTAAAAATTATCGGATATTATTGATTTAAAAACCAAGTGAAAGCCTAACAAACCCTTATAAACTCTTTCAGAAAATTTTTGTTTATTTATTTCAGAATATATTTTTTTTTAATTTTGAAACTTGTAAAACACATTTTCGCATGTCCCATTAGCGTTTTATAATACATACATGTTTTTTTTTTAAATATTGAATAACCAGAACTTTGTGTTGCTTTATAGCAATCCATAACATACTTTAACGTTAATACAGTAAACAATTTATATATAAAATAATGAATTTTAATCTACTTTTTTTAAATTTGACTCATGTCCCAGACATTTTTTCCGTTGCGTAACGTCCGTTGCGTTACCGATAGAATATTAAAAAAAACATATATATGGCAACTTTTTTGGCACGTGATTAACAAATGATGTTCGGACGTACACATTACCCTTCTGAATTTATTTATTCAATCAGGAAGAAGATATCGGTTGAAACAGGTGCGGGTAACGCGAATGTAATAATTGTTTGTCCGCTAAGTTACTCAAAAAAATAATATAAATAAGGTAAGAAAAAAATACTATTTTTCATGTTTATGTTTATTTTAGGGCACTAAAGCTCATTGAGAGTAATTAATGACTGTAATGTTTTATTATTATTTTTTAAATATGGTTTCACAAAACTTTGTCCACTGCGTTACCGAGTCCATTACGTTACCTTATGGTAACGCAATGGAATTTGGGGTAACGCAATAGAATTTTTCGACAACAAAGTGGATATTTACCATCGCTTTTATTAAAAGTAGTTTATGATAAACCAATTTAAAATTATTTGTGATTACAACTCATGATATAGATTACATCCAAGGGAAAATTCCACGCAATATACAAGTACTAAAAGACACCAGCTTATAGTCAAAGAAAAATGGTGTCTACAATTTAGAAATCTAAGTTGTTATTCTGCAAGTGAGCACCACTACAAGGGATTTTGTTTATGCATTACTCTAAAATCGTACCACCCTATATAGTTTCTTTTTTACGTTGTCTATTTCGTTACTTTTTTTTAGTTTTTGTTAAAAAAATCCTTAAAATGATTTTACTATCACTTGGTAATACCTGTTTATAAATTAGAGTTTAACTCACTAATACAGTGACTAAAAGAAAATATTAATGGTATTGTTTTTTTAACAAAGAATCGCAATGGTGTCTTTTAAAAAGTAACTTAACTAACATAAATATTTAAAAAAGGCATACAATTTTTAATAAAAAATAAAATTGGAGTCAACAGTTTGTGAACTAAGAACATTTTATTTCAAATTATTTTTATAACAACTTTTTTTATTGAATTAAATTGGTAACATAGTGGAGACTGTCTTAAATGTAAGTAAACATTTATAAAAATCCAACCAAAAGTAAAAAAAAAAACGTTTTTGTAAACGGTATAGAATTGTTTTTTTGACAAATAATAATATCTATATTTATCAATGCGTTTCTGCATCTAGAAGAGTGTTATTTTTATAAACATAACGTAAATTTTCTTTATAATTAATGCAAATGCTATTACTGAAAGCACCGTTTAGGTAAGTATTTGGTTTATTTAAACCAAATATTTAACTAGGATTCTTTTTTTAGTTAAATTATAATAAAAAATAACCTTAAGGTTGTAGCAATTGGTTGGTAAATTTAAATGGTTATTTTGTAGTTTATTGTGATCTTAAAAAATGTTAATGGTTGAATACAACCAATTGGATATAAAATAAGTTAAAAAAACCTTATTTTTGGTATATACAAAAATCTGGATAGAAAATTTAAAAAAATTGGACTCTAAACTACCCAATTCTGCACTTAACTTATTTTTATGCTAAAAAACACCCTTTCGCTTCTTATTTCTTTGAATGTAACCAGGAAAACGTTTTTTTATTTAAAAAATAGTACGTTTGTCAACAAGTTTAAAAAATTGGTTTCATTGAGGTTACACCACATTTCGATCCATTTGGCAGCTCTAAAAACCACCATAATTAATATTATTCAGACAGATCAAACACGCAATTCCAATATCGTTGATTATAGGATTATTAATCATCCGGTAGCTGACCTTTACACAGTGATCGTACACAACATGTATACATGTACATGTACGTCGTAAATAGCCGCCAATGGGTTATGGGTGGGAGGGTACAGTTTTAGGCACGCGATAAACTTTCAAGCGTTTGGCAGAGCTTTCATGAACACGCGTCTACTGATAACCAAACCGTAACCGTGCGAATTCGCTATCCATTATCGCATATCAGTGGCGTAACAATGGGAACACCCCCCTTAATTGTTTAGGATGAGTAATTGTTGACCCATATTACAATACCATTAGTATATATGGTACCATTTATCATTTTTTTAATAGTCGATTGGTAATCGGTATATTTTTAATTTGGTTATAAAGAGAGAATGGTTTTTATCCAATGCATTATTTAAAACTAAATATTTATAAACTAGTTATAAATAATACATAAATATTTATATAAAAAAATATATACAGACAACCAAACTTTTATGGAATTTCCCACACTAAAAAAGTACAGGCACTGATAATGAAACTAATTTTGAAAGCGATTAATAAAATAATATTAATTAACTTAAATTTAAAATTGTAATGGCTATAAAAAAATTTACCACCTAAAATACCTATTTTATTCACCGATTTGTCAAAGTAATAAGATTATTTTTATTTACAGAATAAACTTTTTTTACTGTTAATATATTAACAGTAAAAAAAGTTTTATAAAATTCTCATTTACTATAATAAAGCAGCAATGTTCAGCTTATTTCATCCAACAAAGAAATAGTTGCTATTATATTGTTATGGCAATAAGAAATACTTTATGTTTGTATTAAACCTTTGTCGAACTTAAAATGTTTTTATAAAATCTATAGTTGCGTGTGAATTGCGCTTACATAAAGTAATGCGCAGTTGTTATAGTAAAAATTGTTCATTTTGCTATGGCATATTTGTCTTTTTTAAATTACTATCGTTGTAATTCAAATTAATTTTATTTCAGTTAGAAAATCTTTGTTAATAGCTTACGTTAAGAACAATAACAAAAATATTTTATTGCTATAAAAATACTTTTTTAATATTTACTATTGTTTTGCAAGGGTAACAAAATTTTAGTTATTTCCATTAAAAAAAGGTGGAAAGGGCCAGCGCTCTCCTTGGTGAACATAACTTTATAATCCACAGTCTTTGTTATAATCTTATTGATTTCACTTGTGCGAGTGAAGTGTGGTAAAATCTAGCATGATAAAAATATCAAAAAGATCACTGAGAAAAATAAAATTTCGACGTTTTTTTAAAAATATTTAAGGTCTATTCTTCTCGTATAAACGAAGCAGACTTGTTGTTTAAAAAGTGAGTTCATATTTTTTTATTTTGTTCATCATATAAAATGAGTTAACTTTTTTGTTATAATAAATAATTTGTTTTAATGCCTTGCAATTATTTAAAAAAAAACTACCCAGGTTGAAAATTTTGTTACAATGAAAATAGTTTATTGAATTAACAATTAATTTGTTGTTAAATTTACATAAATTTTATTAATATTATAAAAAAAGTTTTATTTTAAACCAAAAGGGATTTGTAAAATTTACAAAATTTCTATGAATAATACCATTAGGGTTTGATTAATACTACAAAACGTTTTTGTAAACGGTATAGAACTGTTTTTTACAAATAATAATAACTATATTTATCAATGTGTTTCTGCATCTGGAAGAGTGTTATTTTTATAAACATAACGTAAATTTACTTTATAATAAATGCAAATGTTATCACTGAAAGCAGCGTTTGTAGATAAATAATTTTTATAAAAATGATCTTTTTGCCGTAACAAAAGCAATTGTTGGACGAATAGGGATCTTTACTTTATTAAAACAAACTACTTTGTTTGTTGTATTTATTAAAAAATGCAGTAATTTTAAAAAAGCAGTTTATCCAAATCAATTTTGTTACAAAAATAAAGAGGAAATTATCAAAAAAATTTTATAGAGAACAAATTTCCAAAAAATTTGCCATCTCTAACGTCAATGCATAAATTCTTTATTTTCTAAACATTGGTTTGGATAAACTTTTTTCATGCCCGCCTTAAAACTA